TCAACTATATATTCTAAACTTTCATCTTCTTGAATTCTTTCTAGTAATAGGTCATGGAGTGTGGTGACCTAGTGAAGTAGTCAGGTTGTCAACCCCCTACATGGTAGATTGGGTGTTCAAATCCTATCGATAGTGAAAATTTAAATAATCACCTATGTAATATTTGTATTACAACAACTGTTACTAACAATTGGGTTAGAATATCTGTAATGGTGGTCACACCAGCATGACTGGCAGATTATGGGGCATCTGTGCAATGTTAAAGTTATACAGAGAAATGCAAACTGACAAATTAGATAATACAAACACTAGATAAGTCTTTGTAACTATGTAAATCTATTAAAATTAGATAACAAGAAGTTTATTTGAAAAGATCTAAATAGAAAGGTAGCTAAATCTTTGATGGCTTTACTGTAAAGGCTAGCTTGGTAAAATGAATATCAAGGTCTAGTACCTGGTCATAGTAGCCAGATAGGCAAGAACCTCCAGGTTGGAAGTCTCAAAGATATCACCAACCAGGCCATCAAAATAAACTAAAGAAAAAGAAATTGGGCCAATCTGATATACTAATAGATTGGTTATAGTCCTATATGGGCTATCTGGATTGGGAGTTTGGTAAAAAGTAGAAGAAAAGACAGAGGTATACAAAAGTACCAGGGTTATGCTGTGAAGTAAATGCTGAGGTCTAAGTGAACTCTACAAGAGTATAGTAATTTAATGGTTAGCCCAAACCATAAGTGTTAGTTCTGGCATAGCAATATCTAGATCAGCTGTAAAAATAGGTCAGAATGCTCAGGGGGTTTACCTCAAGAATAAATTAGTTCTAAAATTGAGATGATGATTTGGGCATCTGGATATGACCTAATGAGTTAACACAAATTACAGGTTCAAAGAATTTAAAGTAAAACACCTAAGCAGAGGTGTTAGATATAGCAATTGGTAAGAAACCTTCAGGCAGACTCCTTAAATAAGTAATATAAAAAAGTTACATGTATAGTAAGGATGACAAAAAACATGTTTTTTATTTTTTTGTGTTTTAAAACATGTTTTAAAACATTTTATATATTTTTTATTAAAAAATATATTATTAATAAATATAAGAATTAATTTATTTGTACCCTTAGAGTATACTAAAATTTTATGTATCCAATATTTTTGTAGTACAAATTGGAGTTATGCAATCATTAATCACATATATCACTCGATAGTTACGATCATATGCATCAGAGAATAAAATCATGCATAGATATATAGCAAACAAATAATATCATGAAAGTCACACCATAATATAAATAGAGTTAGAAATCAAAGTTAAAAAAATTTTTCTTGATCTTTTTTGTAAGAAATGCAAAAAGTATTAAGGAAGAAATTATTTACCCATGTGTACGTCAGTCTCTAAAACCTGTATTAGGTTTGTTACAATGAAGGTTATTAATAAATTATGCAATACAATATTAACCTTGACACTTATTTAGGTATGCTTTATTTAAATATTACCACTTTATTTAACAAATCATCGAAATAAAAAGTGATAACAACCCAGAAACATATGAAGAGCAGTTCTCAAGTGTTGCAGTATAGTAAGTTGAACATTTTTTAAACTTGCTTTTGTTCAAACTATGTATTTTCTTTAGCTAATATAAATTAAAATGAAGTGAAAATAGCTTGGTTGAAACAGTGGATCCTTCAATAGTCAAATATGAAATGCAGTCTTTAAGTATTGTAGGATGGTAAGTCAAAAGTTTTTGAATCCTGCTATTACTCAAATTATGTAGTTTCTTTGGCTAATCTAAATTAAAATGTAGTAAGCAGAATTTGGTTGAAATGATGGATCCTCCAGTGGTTGGTCAAACTTTTTGTAGTTGAGAAGAGTTAGATCACTTTATATTTCTCTATGCAAAGTTTTAGAATTTTGTTAGCATTATCTGTAGGTTTGAATACAGTAATGGAGTTTGTTGAAGCCACCGATATGCTTGTAAACAACAAGGCCATCAAGCTATAAAGAAAAAGACCAGTATTGCTAAAAATTAGTAGGAAATGCGAAGTAAATGTGTGGGTTGCCATTGGCAAGTTCATGCTAGTTGTCCTAAGACAACGTGTATATTGAGTATTAATTCCCTTTATTTGAGTTATAATGACTATCCAACAAAAGATGAAACAAATAAGTTTGCTACAAAATATCATGCATTTACTAAAGATATGTTAAAAAATATTCAGTTTTGGACTGAAATTGGTAGTATTAATATGAGAACTCAGCACTAAATGTTGATGAAGCAGTATTTCAATGCTTTTTTTTTATCTCAAGACCTTTCAAATACTATTCAGACTTTTAAATGCCAAAGTTATGTTGAAAATGAGACTGCTGTCTTACTTAATTATCTTCTTGAACATAAAGCAGAAGACATCAGATGGGTTGTATATTGGAAAGTCGACACTACAAACAATTCTTTTGTCTTTTTGTTTTGGATGTCACCTGACCAGCACAACCTGTATATTCAATATCAGGATGTTATTCAATATAATAATACATATTTAACAAATCGGTTTAAAATGGCACTAGGTTTGTTTGTTATAGTAGATAATAATAACTGGTTTAGGTTGGTAGGGCAAGCTCTTATGAATGATGAAATGGCTGAAAGCTACAAATAGGTTTTGTGAGTTTTAATTACTAGTAAAATGCTGTGCCTTTAATGATCATAACCAATAATGATCTTGCTATTAATGCTGCGGTTGCTAGTATTTTGTCTGATTCATATCATGTTCATTGCATATTTCATATTAGTCAAAACTTAATAAAAAACTTAAAAGAGAAACTGTGAGAAAAATATAACAAATTTTCACAACAATGGTATCATGCTTGTAACTTGCTTTCATACCAACAGTTTAATGATTTATGGAACAAACTTTTAACAAAATTTTCTAAGACAGTATCTTATTTTAACCATGCTCTTTATAGTGAAAAGGAATGTTGGGCTCTTTGTTATATTTTCAGAATCTTCACTGCTAGAATGCAGTCGACACAGTGTGTAGAAGGTCAACATACAATTATAAAAAATTCAGTAAATAGTAATATGTCCTTAATCAATCTTGCAAAACATATTGATGAACAAATTGATTGGGCTTCTACTTTTATTCAATATAAAAATTGGGCATATTCTATTATAGGATCTACTCTTACTTGTGTTAGCTCTGAATTTTTACCTGATATTAATAAATGGATTAGTACTTATTTGACATAAGCTTCTTTATCTATACAATAGCAAGAAATCTCTCAGGCCATATGGTATTTATTATGAGTTATTAATAATTTTCAGGATTTGAGATTTCAATGTGATTCAAGTAAAGGTTTTAATTTAACAAATCAGTCTGAACAATCAGACCCAACTGAGACCCTTAATACTTTTTTTGAAGACACTGTAGATGCACCTACTATATTAATTAATGAATTAATATCATCTACTGATATTGATTCTATTCTTAAAATTTAAGAGGTTACGCGGCACAGACATAAAGCTAAAAACTATGTCATAGTGTTTAAAAATAATACTTATTTATGCATGTGTCTTGGTTTAACCCAATGTGGTTTTGTTTATAGACACTTCTTTTAAGTTATGACTGTGTCTAATAATGCCACATTTTATATTATGCTTATATCAAAAAGATGGTATGTTGACGAAAAGCAAATTAAATCTAAATCAGTAACATGACAATATCTTTTTATTATTGGAGTGGAAAATAATATAAATACAGAATTTTTGGGTAATAATAGACAATCCTTTTCTGATTTGTCTTTTTGTTTACTAAAAATTTCTTTTAGTGATATTTATAATAAAGTTAACTACCACAAATTTTATGTAAAAGTCAATAGATTATTGAAAAAAGCTATTTAATGTGGATTGGACATTGGCTCTAATGCTATACAAGAGCTTGAAGATTTTATAAATAGTTTTATAACCAAATATGCGCTAAAAAAAAAAGAAAAAACAGTTTATAGAAATAACATGAAACAGAAGAAAGATGAAGACGAAGATACTTCAAATGATAGTTCTAGTGTCAAAGATTTTGTGAAAGTTGAAAATCTAATAGTTCATACTAGAAAAGGTGCTTCATGAAAGAAGAGATTTAAAGGATCTCACAAATCAGTAGGCAAAAATAAGTCTAAACAAAATTTAGAAATTCAGAAGACTAGAAAGCCAATTCAGTATCAACAATGTCAAAACACTAATCACAACAAGGCTGGTTGTGAAGCATGGCAAAATGACAAGGTATTCCATATTCATATTGATAACAAATTATGTGACCATTATTTGTCTTGATCAACTTGGAGCATTGGAACTTAATATTTGATTTAATTTGCTTAAACATTAATAAAATATTATATAATGTGAATTCATAACTTGTGGGGTATAAAACAAAAGTAATATATAATTCATATATAAGTAATACTTGTGCATCAAAAATACATATATACTAAAGCAACATTATTATGTATAGTTAGCAAAATTTAAAATCTATTTCTATAAGCATCATCTTGATAGTTAGAGTTAGATCTAATACTAATATTTGTTTTCGTATAGTTAGGGTTAATTCTAGTAGTTTATAGAAAACATTCATTCAAATAAGTATTATCTTAATTTCTGTATTACATACTTATTATCTATACATTGCACATTTGATTTAATTGCTTAATTGGAATAAGTAAAATAGGTTGAGATTTATACTTAGTATTAAGTTTGTGTGAAATAATTTTAGCACAGTTTGATATTCACTATTTATAGATCACAGAATAGGTTTCTACTTAACATCTACCAAATCAATTAAGTATTTACATAGTTAATGTCATGTAGATTACTAATATGTAAAAAACCTTTTGCAATCGCATATGAAGATTTGTCAAACATAATCAAGAGAAACAAAGTAGATAAGTAGAGTATAGTAAGATAGTATTACTATTATGACTTAATACTATGTAGAGTTCTGCAAATGCTAGGTGTCGATACTATGTTTAATAGTACTATGTCTAGTGATGTGCCATGTACTGTACTATATGTACTGTACTATATGTACTGTACTATATATACTGTATGTACTGTATGCTAAAATTTTGACAGTCATTTTATAAGTTCTGAAGTTTAAGCTATAACATTTATAAGTTCCTAAATATTCTGAACTGATTACTGAACATTCTGAACCTATAGTAAAAAAAATCCTACTATACATACTATATGTACTGTATGTACTGTATGTACTGTATACTAAAAAAATCTAAATATCATATAAATGGCACATCACTAACTGTGTTACAGCACTTGCAGAACCCTATTTAATAAAGAATGGTTTTACACATTTGTACAAATGTGCATATAAAGGGAAAACTTGCAGTGCTTATTTACTTATCAGCATATAATATATGCTATATAGTATTGTAATATATAATTAGTTATATTCATTAAACTTGTTATACTTGTTATACTTGTTATACAGCATTTCTTATTGTTCAAAAGCATATTATGTGATTTGGGTATATATACCCTAAGGTATATATAAATTACTCCTAAATATAATAATTTTTTAATATAATAAACTTTAATATTAAGGGTAGGGTGTCATATTTTAAAATTATATATAAACCTAATGGTAAATTTTTTTTATATTTAATTTTATGAAAT